ATGCGCACACGCGCGCGCACACACGTATATATAGGAGGGTTTAAATGATACATGTGTCACTTTTACCAATTATTACACTTCTCAATAACTTTATATTAATGTAAATTTTGTCGATCCAACTATTAAATTATAATTTCATATCACCTTATATGTTTATATCAAATTTTGTTATAATTGAACAACAATTTTAATGTAATCAAAATGTTTCATATATTAATATATTTGAAATGTATATTTTACGTTAATTTTGTTATATAAGAATAAGATATTAAATTATTTTGCATTAATATAAAATTTTGTATATATGATCCATGAATAAGAAACTTTCACTCTAATGATATGTTTCAAAAAATTTATATTTAATTGAAAGTTATTGAGCGGTGTAATAATTGATAAAAGTAACAATTTAGAACATCTCAAGTTTTAGTTTTTACCAAGGTGTTTCTTTTTAGGAGATGAGAAAACATCCTTGTCAAAAGGCTTTGTTTCAATTTGTATTCTCAAGTGTCAAAATTATAAAGAATTAATTAATGGGATATACATGTTTTTTAGTGAACGTAAAGCCTTGTATCAATTATGACAAGTTGACAACATTCATGATATTTCTAATAAAATGTGAGCCCTTCTTCAATTTGAGGTAGAAAAAATAAATTTTTTCCTTGCAAAAATGGTTATAAATAGTCGCCTCCCTTCCCATTTTTCCTCTTTCTCTCTTTCAAATTAAATTTTATTTACTCTCTTGTCTATCTTCTTATTCATTTTATAATTTTCAAAGCCTTCATATACCACCAATTTTGGGTGTTTTCCTCTTGATTTTTCAATCTTCTTCAATTCTTAGAGCTTCTCCTCCCTTTCAACTCTTTTTCTTCTTCCTTTTCATCACAGTCTTGTTAAAAGAAGTGAAACCAGATGACAATAGAAATTTTGTGGAGATTCTCTCTAAGATGATAATCGAAGATACACCCTTAATTTCCTTGCAAGTACTTTGGGTTTTTGGCCTCACTCTTCCAAGTATTGAACAAAAGTATAATGTTTTAAAAAAAAAATAAGTAATTGACCAAAAAATAAGGAATAATTAGAAATACAGTTACCCCTAGAAATGGACCATTTTCATATGACAAATTATATTACTATTCGATTTTCATGTGACCCTTGGTAGCACATAGGTAAGAAGATCACCCATTGTTTTGATCGAATGAGATTCAAACATTAAGAAATGTTGTGGACACTTGATTTGAAGACATAGCACCAATAAATGTGATTAGTGTGAAGTATCCAACTTTGTTTTTGATAATCTCTGTTGAAGAAGAATCTATCTAACCACTTTTAGTAGAGTTTTTTCTCATAAAAATGTGTTTTTCATCTATAAAACTCGAATTTAAAATTTTACTACTTGGACTAAGATCTTGTTAATCCATCAATTGTGATTGGATTATTTATATATATTTTTTTAAAATAATCATTAGTATCGAACATTATGTTCCAACCTTGACGATTGACTTGGACAACCCATCAAATGGTATGGTTCATGATATATACACCTCCTTTTTTCTATAAGTACACCTCCTTTTAAAAAAAATTAAAATTTTAAAATATTTTTAATTTTTTGTTTTAAATTTTTTAATTTTACATCCACAACATTTAATTTAGTACTTTTTTTTCACACTTCTTTCCTCCTTTTTTTAATTTTTATATGCACCCCCTTATTTTTCCTTCACCCCACCTATTTTGGTAACATGTGAAAATTGAAAGAGAAAAGAAAAAGTGTGTGAATAAGAAGAAGAAAGTAGAAAATTGAAAGTTGAAAGTGTAGAATTAAATTTTTTTAAAAAAATAATATTATAATTTTTTTTAAAAGGGAAGTGTACTTATAAAAAAAGGAGGTGTATATATCATGAGCCAATGATATTTACCATAGGTCCATTCAGATTAATGTGGCCTAAGATTCGTTGGCCCAATAATGTATAACAATTTTTTTTTTGTGTATATAATTTTTACTCATTCTATTCCTACTCAAACCCAGTAAAACTATTTAAATTAAATATGATAGTTCTTATTAAGTTTTACCATAATTGCATTTACATTCTCAAAATCCAAATTCGAAATATTAAATTACAACACTCATATAGTGTGCCTTATACTGTTCAAGACAAAAAGAATTAAATATAAAGTAATGTAATATATATATATATAGAGGAAAGATCCGTTTACTCCAAGAGTAAGTCTATGTAGATTTACTGTGTTCAATAACTCATGTTCTATATCAAATTTCAACGATCTAACAGTTGAATTTAAAGTTCTTAATGTATAGATCAAATTTGCAAATTTGAAAATCATTTAATACTTTATTTCATTAATTCAAACCAATGTATAAAATAATTTTATGATTATACATTGATTCAAATTAATGAAACGAAGTATCAAATAATTTTTAAATTTTTTAAAAATTTGTAGATTTGATCTATACATTAAGAACTTTAAATTGAACAGTTGGATCGTTAAAATTTGAGGTAGAACTTGAGTTATTGAATGGAATAAGTCTAAGTAGACTTACTCTTGGAGTAAAATTCCCTCCTTATATATATATATATATATATATATATATATAATATTAATTTTTAAACAATCCTTACCCTACATTTGAAGACACTTTCTATAAGACTTCATAATAAACCAGCATGTCTTGTGTCGTACCCACGTACATATAATTCAAGCCACTTGAAC